ATATGGTGCAGGTGCGAGGAGGTGGAGAACAGTGTAGGTTGGTCCGTCCTCGAGATAACACGAGAAAATCGCCACTGCAAGAAAGGTGGTTTGGAACGTGGATATTTGTAGATTTATTTTGGTGGATATTTGTGGATTATTTTGGTGGTATTTGTGGATTATTTTGGTGGTATTTGTGGATTATTTTGGTGGTATTTGTGGTTTGAAGGGACTGGAATTTAGAGGAGGGTTAGTAGTGAGGTATATGGAATAGGTCTTTATTTGGTGACTTGGTCCTTTTTTTCCAGATGTTTTCCTTGGCCCAACTTCTAGTGACTTTGTCTCTGGTCTTCGCATCGAGCAATGCTGCTTCGCCGCCACTACCGTCAGTACGTATTTTAAAATTATTTTAAACTATTTTAAGGTACTTCATACTAGTACATCTATTCCCTAAAAGGGGGCCTGATTAATAATTCTTTTAAATTTGTGATTTAATTTAATCTTCTTTTTTTATTAAAATTTATAAAATACAACGAATACAGGCTTCAATCCTGTTCATAACCATACTTTTCCCACCCTAACCTCCCCTTTCATAACTGCCGCCTTTTGCTCTTTTCAGTTTCAAAGCGATTCCCCCTTTTCTGTAAATGTTATTTCTTTGCATTCCTTAAGCGGTAATGAATTTTGGAGGCTAATTGTGCCTTTAAAATCGGAATACATGTATGAATAGTGCTTATTGCTTTAGTGTTATTTACATATTGCTCTTCTGGGTGACTTAAAATAGTTTTTAATATCGTGGCTTTATGGAGAAATTCCATTTTGGACCTGAGTATCAGATCATGGTCTGGTTAGATATTCTGTTAACATAATAGGGCCACTTGCCAACTGAACTTATTAGAATTCTCTTAAAGCCTCCTTGCTAAAAGTACTTGTTGACCTGTTCCAGGTACTTGGTAGGAACAACCTTGTAGGTGGTTCTCCGGCAGGAAACCTGTACGCCGCCCCCGCCGTCGGGCCGGTCACCATCACGGTCACCCAGGACCGCTTCGGTCTCAGACCACCAACCCCCCGACTCACCACGAACACCGCCTTTGTTTACTTTGAAGGAGTGGTGATAACTCTCTGCTTTCAAGCTTCATCTGGCGATCAGATAGCGTTATTAGTCAAAGCTACTAAATTACATGGTCTCTGGCCCCAGCATATGAATAATATCTAAAGATGTCTCCTAAGCTTTTTTCAAAATCCTGTCGTTAAGATAAAGAATTCGCTTGTTCTGATGCCCGTAGGTTGTAAGGACGCCCGTTGACGATGACGTGGCCATCCAGACTCGTCAGGTGGCAAGGCCTGCGACGGTCACTGTCCTCGACCAAGTGTCCAATATCAGGGTCGTGACTGACGTCTCCGTCGAACACTTCACTATCACGCACAGCTACTATAACATCATGCAGTCGACCTACACCCGAACAACGACGCAGGCGTAAGTATAGTGCTCAAGACTGCGTCGTGAAAACAACTCCTATAAATTTATATATATTAACACCTTTCTGATTTTGCAGGATTACTATCTCATCTACATTGGTGAGGACAAATGTCAAGACGGACACGAGAACGGAGACTGACTTCCGCACCGTTTACAACACTGTCTACGTGCAGGGATCGTACCAGTAGATAACGACACTTCGCCGATGGCGCTATTCATTCGGTCTGGATCTGCCAGGAAAGCACAATAAAAGTAACACTAGAAAAATATTTATAATGCATCCCTATTCACCTTGGCATCTTTCTCCCTTGCATTACAAGGGCTGTTCTTGATGTATGGTGAAATTTTATTATCTAAAAGGTTAACAACTCCGCCCATTTTATCACTGTTCCCGAAATAAAGGTTCAAGGGGGAGGGGGGTGATAAAGGGCTGAAAAATAAATTTTATATGCATACGTTAATGCTAAATATTATAAGAATCTTTTTAAAGTGATAACCAAATGGTAAACATTGACCTAAAAGCTAGTACTAATTGTTTGATAACTTCGGCACATGCTAATGCCGGAGGGGGGGGGGGGGGTTCTAGTCCTAGGGACTGAACTGGACAACCTAGAGGGTTAGTCTAAACCAAGTTCTGTGAATTTGCTAATGTGATTAGAATGATTTAAAGGGAGGTGGAGGGGGTACTGTTAGAGATGCAATGATCTTGTATGCAACCCCCCCCCCCACCAATCTCCTTCCTCTGCTAAGGTTTAAGAGGTAAAGCCCAGTGTGCATATCATCCCTGCCTTGGAAGTCGGCCGTTGCAATAACTACAGTAACTTTGAGTGGTATTTGTCTTTCTAACTTTCCTTTTTCCTTCTATCCACATCCTAAGTGAGGTCCTTGCTGAAATAATATTGGCTTTGTCTGTCCTGAAGGGCCTAAATACTGTTTGCTCTTCCCTATTTTCCCTTTTCACTACCATGCTAACCCACCGCGCTCTAGTATTTATCTAAAATTGTCTTGCTACCTTCATTAATTTTCCTCGTTGCCATACTTGTCAAAATTGTAACCTTTTAACTGGTGCTTTGATCCCAAGCTTCGCCCTTTAAGTGTATTTGCTGCTGATAATGACTTAACATATTGGTTCGGCAGAAAGTTTATAACAAATACCCCTTCCCTCTCCTAGTAAAAGCCAAACTTGCTCATTGTCGAAGTGGGGAGGGGGGACGATTACGGCGCAAGGTAGGGATTACTCCTACATTGTGCCTCGGACCTTGCATCCACTCATTTTGCATTTTTTTCTTTTCCTTGACCCCATCCAGAAGCGTGGAAACTTAATTCTAACCCTTTTCGCCACAATACTGTACAGCTATATTCTGATTGCGACGCTAAATAACCTTACATGTTGAGGCGGCAGAGAAATTTAAATGAACTTGTCAAAACTACCCCTCCCTTGGATTTCCTCACTTCTTTCTGAAACTTTAATCACCATTTACACTTCTGAGTGGGGGGGGGGTGGAGATGCTTTATTTTCTCTAACATTAATTGCTTTGAAAACGGTAAAAAAGAATTCCAACAGACATCCTTCTAGAATCCCCCACATTCAAACGTAGTTTACGTGTTGCCCTCTTCTACCCACTACCTCGTTGCGTTCCAGGGTATCGCCGAACCGCAAAGGTGAAATGTGATAGTGTGGCTTATCTCTGGGAACCTAGTGGAGTAGTCGACTCTCCTTTTCCCCTCCCCTCACTTTTTGACCCTCTCCTTCCCGCTCTTCCCCCACTTTCCCCCCATCTCGTTTGACTAAGGAAAAGGATACGCCTAATTGACTTATGGGCGTTTGGCCTGCCTGGACGGAAGACTAGTGCTGGGGGAGTTCGAGTGGAGGGAGAATGGGGGTTACAAGTATATTGTGTAATGGGTTAGTTTAAAATGTGTGCTTAAAAGCATCTGTACTGCTTTAATTTCTCTGCGTCTGAAACCCGTCAACAATTGCGAAGTAACTTTGCAATTAAACAGAAATTTACTGACCAAGAACTTCGAAGGACTTGTGTTTAGCCGACTAAACGAATATCCTGAGTTTAGAAAACTAAATGGTCATAATGCTTCGTCTTTGAAGCTCCCTTTTCAAAAAAAACATTGGGAAGGACTGATTCGTTTTTACAGGAACAAGCGAAAGCAGGGCTTTAGAGGGACGTCGCTGCCGAGCAGTAGTAATCCTTCCGATTATGAAAGGGAGTGAATAAATCAGGCGTTTTTAAGTTATGCGTTGTTTGAGTATCATGTATGAACATTCTGTAAAAAGTTCTCCAATGCGGCATGTCAGCAAATGACGTCACAGGCGGATAAACTACCCGTGACGTCACTTTCAGTTGCCTGCCGAAGTAGACGCTTTATTTGGGGAAAGGGTATCCAGCACCAAGACTGTGGCGAAAAGGGAGAATAATGTTTGAGGTTTACGATTTCACAACCTTTAAAGTTATGGTAAAAGGATAACTCAAACCCGAATACAAATGCCGTTCAGGAATGACGAAGCCAGTTTATCCTTTCAGCCCAGTCTCACTTTAGGACGTGGACAGACAAGGATGGGAAAGAATAGTGGGGGAAAGGAAAACCATGCAAAATACAGTCGAGGACTGAGGTTCAGGGTAGGGGTGATTGGGTCTCAAGTCTATCAACCTCCCCACCCTAGGACAATGAGCAAAGACTGCGGGGGGGGGGGGGACTAGCCACTACAGTTACTAGCGGGGGGCTACCAGATAACCGACAGTTGGGCAGAATTATATCCCTCTGCTTCACGCTAGTTACAACTTGTGGGGGCAATATTTTTGCCCATGTTGATCAACATGTCCATTTCTTAATAGCTTAAAGAAAAAAGTTTGGTCTTGCATAAAAAAAAAAAAAAAAATAGCCATTTGCAAGAACATGGTAACACCATGCATGTTCCACGCACGGAGCGTTCTGATAGTAGATTGGAAATACAGTTTTGAAGCAACGTTTATTACAGTTTGCGTTAGTTAATGTCCATAGAGTTGTGTTGAAGTAACAATGTTGGTAACGTAACGAGTCGTGGTGGTTATTACGTGCTGGACAAGTTCCTGTGTAGTCCAAACTGGCAAGGTGGTTACCTGTAAATAGAAATTTTAACAGTTATTCAAGGCCTTTAATGAAAAATACAAGTCTGGGTACGAAACAAAAAAAAAAGCTTATATTTCCAGATATAAACAAGCGAACGTTATAGATTCAATCTTTACCTGGTAGTCGGTAGAGACGTGGTAGATGCTCTGCCAGAATTTAACGGTCTCGGTGGTGGTCACGAAGCTGGTGAAGACGGAGACGAAGGTGCGGGAGGGATTCACGAACTCCTCGGCGGTCTTGATGGCGACCTGGAACCCAAGAACCAGGTCAAGGCTCGCATTCATTTGAAATGAAAATAGGATAAACATTTCTTTTAATATCCAGAATACACACTGCATGCAAGGCTCTCCTTACCGGTGTGGTGGTGACCCTGAGCACCGAGGTCACCGTCCTGGCCACCTCGGGCACGAAGTCGCGC